AGTATAGTAAATAATTGAATATTCTCTAATGAAGTTGCTAATATTTAATAATATATAAAGAAAAGATTCTATTAAAATTAATATGAATATAATGAAAATTTTTTTTTTGTTTTAGTAATTCTTTTAAAATAGTTCATTTATGTTATTCATTACTTTTTCTCTATCGCTATATCTATTAGTCGGTATGTATATAGTACAAGATCAAAAAAAACTTTTACACTCTCTCTGGAGAAAACAAAAAAGAAAACATCCACTATCAAAAGAAAATCGGACCTGAGCCGAAACTTGGAACGATGTTGATTTTGTAAAAATTCAAATGAACTTTTCACTTTTTTTTCTCTCTATTTCAGTCTATCCATTACGTGGAAGTTCCATTGACATTCATCCAAATGCTCGATGGCAACAGAATGGTCTCACTGTTGCTGGAGGAAATCAACTCTCAAACTCATTGGGTTTGTATGTTGATGATGATGAAACAATATATGTCGCTGATCAGTTGAATCACCGTATTGTGGAATGGAAATTGGGTGCGACGAATAGTCAAGTGGTTGCTGGTGAAAATGGACAAGGAAGTGGAGATCATCAGTTGTCTTATCCACAAGATGTGATCGTCGACAACGAGAAAGACAGTCTAATCATCTGCGGTGGCTTGAATAATAGAGTAGTTCGATGGCCTCGTCGAAATGGGACAAGTGGAGAAACAATCATCTCCAACATCGATTGTTTGGGTTTGACGATGGACGAGAATGGATCTCTTTATGTCGTTGACGAAGGAAAACATGAAGTAAGACGATATGGAAGAGAAGAATCTCAAGGAACAGTAGTTGCAGGTGGCCATGGAAGTGGAAATCGTCTCGATCAACTCTATCGCCCACATTATGTATTCGTCGATCGAGATCATTCAGTATACGTGTCTAATTATGGAAATGATCGTGTGATGAAATGGGTGGAAGGTGCAAAACAAGGTATTGTCGTGGCTGGTGGTCAAGGAAAAGGAAATTCTTTTACGCAATTGTCATATCCTCAAGGAGTTGTTGTCGATCAAATGGGCACTGTCTATGTGTCTGATGGTGGGAATGGTCGAGTCATCCGTTGGTCTAAAGGAACCACATATGGAAGTGTTATTGTTGGTGGAAACGGTAATGGAGAACAATCTAATCAGCTCCATTGACCCGTCGGTCTTTCATTCGATCGACACGGCAATCTCTATGTCATCGATTCGAGAAATCATCGAGTACAAAAATTCAACATCGAATCCAATAAATGAAGGACTAAGAAACTCAAAAAAAAAGCTTTTCAGTATTGTTAATTCGACAGTCATGATGCGAAAGAGCGCGTCACAGGAATGCGTAGAATCTTTGAAAAAATGATAATAAATCTCACTAGTCTTTAAATAATAATATTTGATCCAACCCAGGAGCCCAATACACCGCCGGAATCCAAGACCTCCGAAATCTTGACAAATTTAATACGTCCAATTAGATGTTAATAAGCGTCTTCTCTCGACGAACACAGTTCGATTTGCCCACATCACAGTTGGAACAAATATCAAATTATCACAACAAGTTATGATATAGTCTCCTTAAAGACTCTCTTTATCTTTAGCTGAAGTCGTTCTTAGTTTAGCCCAAATCGACGACTCTTGCTCATACACTATGAGTATTAGTTTATCAATAACAAAAGAAAAAAAAATCAGCTAGCACATTCTATTTTTGACTTCTATTGAAATTCTTCGGAGCTAGATTCAAAGGAAAATTTCAATTCAACTAAAATCTAACATCCTCTGCAAAGCACAGTAACAGTACTAAATTTAAAAATCTTTTCCGATCAAAACCTTACGCCCTCTACAAATTGCAGTATCTAATTATCTGAATCTTAAAAGTTTCTATTGTCAAAAAACTAATAAAAAAAGTCTAGATCAGTCAGGTATCCAATATTGTCGGCTTGAATGTTAGAATTCACCTATTGCCTCCTTTTCTTCTGGCTTTTGCCGTAAAGTTGACTCGCCTGAACTTCGACAAAGAAATCAATTGCTAAAAAGCAAGAATAGAGAATTGTAGATTATATTGATCTTTTTTTCAAGATAGATAGTTCAGTCTATTTTTCGATTGATCCTTAAGTGTTTCATCTAACAATGCACTCTACGATCTATA